GTACTAAGGATTTTAATTTAATTCTAAAATTAAATTTAGAGTTTTTAGTTTCTGTTTTTGAAACATAATTCCTGTAGTGATTCCATATTTTTTATTGTAGTATATATATATATATTTTTATATATATATATATATATATATATATATATATATATATATATATATGTATGTATATTCGGGAGTGTATATATACAATACATATGCCTCTGAAATATACAATATATACGCTCATGGAGAATTTAATTCTGGTCAAGCACACTTGAGAGAAAGTGTGAATTTGTAAACAATGATTACTACTGCTAATACTGCAAAGCTCTTCTTTGAATTGAGCTCTCTCAGTCATTGACGTGTTTATTCAAGAATAAATATGTAAAAATCCACCTTCCTCTCTACCGGGTGCTGATAGCTCAGGGTAAAATCTCTGAGTGATGCTAAATCAGTTGGGTTTCAATCCCAGCTTGAGGCAATTGGAAGTCTAGCCACAATGATGAGCTGTGATACAGCAAAACAATCTGTCTGTGGATGACAATATATATATATATATATATATATATATATATATATATATATATATATAGTCAAGTACAGTATGAGCTTTTTTGATCAGTTTTTGCGCAAAAACATAAGAGGTTGCACTATACACAGGTAATTTTTTTTGTAGAAGTTAAAAATCATGCATTTTCAGTGACTGTAATTTGCCTGGTAGGATTACATTTTCCCGGTACCTTTGAGTAACCGTAATGGTTCAGGTAAACTTCTTTTAGCCAGCCTCCTATAGCCTAGATTCTTTCTTTCTGTTGCTATATGAACAGAAGAACATCATTCACTATTTGTGCAACTTAAAATCTACAAATACATTATATAAATGAAAAAATTAATGATGTATTTTTCATTTCTCCAATTTGCATTCATCTTTGCATGTGTTTACATCACTGATGTTGTCATTGGAAAGGCAATATCTCAGCAATGTAAACACTTGTGAAATGAAGATGAATACAAATTTGAAATAAGAAAAAACAATCTATTAATTCTTTATTTATATAAGGTATTTGTTGATTTTAAGTGGCATACATAATGAATGAAGATTTGCTCTTCATGCAGCAACAAAAGGGAAGAAACTTAGCCTACATAAGAGGTATGCCCTGGGTAAAGGAGCTACTGTAGTCAAACATGAAAGAAAACAAAAGTATGGTATCTAAATCTATGTATTAGATATTTTACAGTAAGTAGTTTTTATCACCTTTTTGCAATATTTTTGTACAAAAAGTAAAGACCATTTATTTGCTATATATCCAGGATGATGTAGTATTTTAACTATGGTCGGCCAACTAGTATTGCTCAAAAGCTCGGGGTCGCATTATATATAAGCTATATGAAAGAAATCAGGTTTTTCACAAAAAATTCAAGGGCCACACTATATATGAGTATTTACTGTAAGCAGATTTCAAACTAACAGAGGAAATATATTTAAAATTTTGAAATAAAAATCTGTACTCAGTAGAAGAATTTTCCATAATTTTTTTCAGAATATTTTGGTTCTCAAATATGTATCTGATATATTCAATATACGAAAGAGGCTCCAAAAGTTTTGAGCCTGAATTTGAACCCCTTTTTGGTGATTCAAAATTATTGTTTTAAATGTCTTTTATATATTATTCATGTAATATTTTTAATATTTTCATTGTTTACATTTTCTTGTGAGTCACATTATAGATGAAACAAAAAAAAAGTTGAAGCAATTGGCAGTGACTGACAAAAATAAAAAAATACAAGTTTTATGCTATAATTGTATGCTTGACTATGGAACGAATTGTGTTCTAATAAATTGATGACTGCATATAAAATGTCTATCATATCTATCTGCGCCTTTGCATGCAATGGCTGAAAGTTGGGCTATTGAGTATAGGAGATTGCTTGAAGACAAACTATGGAACTGTGGAAACATCGTGCTCCATAAGTTCTGAGGCTGAATACGAGCCCTTTTCAGTAATTATAAATTATTGTTTTATTTGATTACCTTAATATATTGTTTGTATATATATATATATATATATATATATATATATATATAAAATAATAAAGTTAATAGAGTTGAATTAGATATATTTATTTATTTTTAAATAATAAGCATTCATTAATTTTTAAAAAATAAAGCGTTAGGTAACCAATTGACCAGAATCACCTGAAGATACCGAAACATTGAAACCAAAGTAGCAGAATTGGCTAATCTCCATTATATATATATATATATATATATATAAATATTGTTTTACACAAAATTTGAACATTTTCATTATTCACAATATCTTCTTGCAATTTATATTACAGAAGTAACAAAAAAATTGAAGCAATTGACGATGACCAACAAAAATAAAAAAATACAAGTTTTATGCTGTAATTGAATATTTGGCTATAGATCAGATTGGAAAATCAATGACTACACACAAAATGTCTATCATGAGGACTGCCTTTCATATGCAATAGTCAAAAGTTGGGCTGTTGAGTTTTGACTGAGGGGAGGAAATCCCTTGACAACAAACTATGAATCTGTGGAAACATCTTTTATTGAAAAATGAAAGTATCAGTTGAAAAATTAAATAAAAATACAACAAAAATATTCTTTTCTGGCTGTCATGTTATTAACAATGTTGGGCTCAAAACTTATGGCACACAACTTTTATGCCCAATCAGAACTTCCTTGTAAGAACATAAAAAATGTTATTTTATCTAATTTAGAAAAAAAAAATTCTAATTACTCTACATTATAAGAGAAGTGTGAATTTAAACACTACTATCATACTATAAAAGGGGATATTTACAAAGTCTTGGATATTAATGTGTTCAACTCCAGGGGTCAATTACAAAATCTGATTTCACACATCAACTTTCTTTGGCAATAAAACATTTTCATGTGTTGATTTTTAGCTTCAACTGAAATCATAACATTGTTTTCACACTAAAAGTATCACTGCAATAAAAACTCATTGGCATCTGCAAATTAAAATGTATCAGAAAATGCCAAGCATGAGATAACTTGTAGTCAGCATGAAATAATTCATAGTTTGTGTCATACTGAAAACTGCCAACCTCAAGTTATTTTGTGGTTGGCAGTCAATGTGTTAAGCTATGATTTTCACATGATTACAGGAGTCTGTTGTTAAATAAATGATTGAAATGTTGCTAATCTTTTGAAACAATATGAGCAGATTATCTGAAAATAACTTTTACACTAATTCTTATCAAATAACCACAAATTTTTAACATTTTTAAAGCCATCAAATATTGATAAAGCAAAAATGACATCGAAATACTGTTAAATAATGGTTTATCTTCAAATAATTTCAAAGCTATATAAGAATGCAAACTGAGTCTAGATTTTTTGACATTTTTTTGTCTGAATTTTTGAGAGTAGAAATTATTATTATTATACAGGTTTACTCAAACTAGTGTTACTCATTATGGCTGTTATTGTCACAATTTTGACCGTTGTACTCTCCAGCCTTCTTTAGGTCTCTTTTGCAGCTAGTTACCTTCCAGAAATTTAAAACTAAACCCTTAATTCAATCCACTTTATTCATGTTACCTGGCTGTTCAATCTCTTGAGTCAGACAAAGAAGAAAATCATATATTCAGGTTCAGTGAAAGAGATCAGTGACATTAAAAAGACAAATTAATTCATAAATTAACCTTTAGCACGGACAGAAGAATGAGAATAAGCTACTCCCCATGAATTGAGTAAAGTGTTTGGTCTCAAAATCCATGGAAGGTTACCAGTTAGAACAGTTATTTAAAAGAAACTAGAGAGTACAGAAATGAAGATATAAACGTTAGTCCAAGTAAGTCAAATATTTTTTTCAGGTTTTCAAATAGAAAGGTGTCAAATTAAAATTTAGTCCTGCAAATAAGCTGGGATGCAGGGCAAATTTTTTTCCTTACAAATTATATTTTATTAATTTTTCATCAATAATGCTAGCCCATATTGAATTACAGTTTTTTCAATATTTTTTTCCATATACATATCTATATTCATATACAACTTGAGTTTGTTTGATGTGTATGTGTAAATGTATCTTAAATTAAAATTAAATAATTCAAATAAATTAATAATTTAAATAATTAAAATTAAATTAAAAATTTGCATATTTAATTTATAGAGACAGCCTGAGACTAAGCTTGAAAATTTGGCAAAATATTTGTATTTCAGTATTAAGTATTTTTTAACTTCATCATTAATTTTGCATTAAGAAATACAAAATATATTGCAATAATTTATTTTTTTTAATACACATATTTACATTATATATTCTGATACATTTTTAAACATATAATATATTCATAGTATGAATACATTAAATAAAAGTAAGTACACATATTTTAACACACACACAACACCTTGAAAAAAAAAGGAAGTGAAATAATTGCAATCTTGGGAAAAATCTTGATATAAATTAAAGATTGAAATCAATGTTTTCTTTTTCTTCTGAAATTTATTGATAGATTTAAAAAAAAAAAAAACAAGAACAAAAGAAGTCAAGAGATCCGATGTATCAGCCATTTTGAAATAGGGGACATAACACTGCAATTCTAAGCCAGAGGAGGAACAAGCATACAAAGGATTTAAGGTCTGAATTAAATTCAAATAAATAAAACCTCTCAAGACATTTTAGGTTTTCATGTGAAGTGTTGCATCTTTACAATTGCCTGATTAACTTATAATTTTATTCAATAATTTCTCTTTCTCTAAATTTGCCAATTTTATTTTCTTCCAAGCAATTAGAACATCATACAGTAAATCCTTGACATTCTGAGATTCTTTCTTTCTTTATCTTCTTAAGGAATTTGGTTGACTTGAGAACGGAAACTCAAAGTATTGCATGCAAGTTGCGGTGTTCAGCTATACAGGTGAGTCAGCTCACTGAGAAGAACATTACAGCCAAGCCACCTTATGAAGTATACACGACAACATCAAATTAAAAACCCTATCATGCAATTAGAGTGGTTTATGTCACTCCTCGGGCTCCCTTGAAATTTTTCTCAAATTTTCGGACCACATCAGCTTGCACCCTAGTCTGAACAGAACCAGGACGTAGTTCTCTCACGTAGCGTAGAGCATCTTCGGCAGGCAGTTCCCATTCTTTGACGAAGTAGCAAGCCAGCATACAGCCCGTGCGACCTTTTCCCATAAGGCAATGAACAGCGACACCCTAGAAGTTAAGAAACCCTTTATTAGGACCAAGTATTTACAAAGACATGAGACTCAGAAGACGGAGATGAAATTATTCACAAGTCCACAATTGTAACGATACATCAACAAAGTGGAAAACCTACCTGCATCTTTGTGTGAATGTATTTATATACAGAAAAATATGTAAGTATAGATGAATATATAGCATACCTGTCAACCTACTTAAAAATATATATATATATATGTATATATGTATGTATGTACCATATTTACCACCATGTAACAATAATTTGACAAGGAGAAAAAAAAATAATAATATTGAACTGATAAATCATCCATACTATATATATATATATATATATATATATATATATATATATATATATACAAGCACACAGGATATGGTAGAATTACCTTCCACTTATACAACCCAGAAATACATCCCACATAATGGTAAAATATTAGATAGATGAAGACACAGCATGTTACACCATTATGTGGGTGGTATTGTTTGCCATATATATATAAGTGTGTATTTGGGTAGCAATCGTTCTCTTATACATGTTTCATTATTAAAAATGAGTGACAAGGTAGTTCTGATTTTTTGTTGTTTTTTTTTCATGTTTGCAAACATGAGAGTTCATTTTAGGAATTAGTGTGTGAGAAATTGTCCAAATAATTGTTCGTTTCTGAGTGTTTTTGGATAATCTATTATCCAATTTCAAGGATTTGGGTTGTGCTATGGTAAATGGCATGTATGTGTGTTTATATTTCATGTTATTAATGGTTTATTATTATTATTATAATGATAATAATAAGGGCTTCAATTATTTTTAATGCTTTTTGTTTGCATATAAGAAAAATACAATAAAAATATAAACAGAAGTACCTTGTCAGTTATCTTTTTAATGACACCACACTCCACATACAGTCAATGAAGAATCAATTTTTAATATTTTTATCCATTTCACAGAAACTAATGTCTGCATGATGCCAAGTTTTTTACATGTTAATAAACAACAAAAGAAAAGTAGGAATATAAAACTCAATTTTCAGAACAATAGGTTAAATACAATTTTGACAGGCAAATTATGCAAAATAGGAAAAGACAAAATTATTCATACAATATGAAAAATAGAAAAAATTGAACAATTTTCACAATATTAATAGTCAATAGCATGTCCTCATCTTTATAACTTGCTAAAATCGTTTTCTAAAGTTTTTGATGAGATTTGAACAAGTGTATTCTGGGATTTTCTTCCATTCTTCAATGCTTACACATTCTAATTCCTGAAGACTTTTTGGTGGCCGACGATTTATCCGAACTTTCAATTCTTGCCATAGATTTTCAATAGGATTCAAGTCGGGACACATTGAAGGCCATGACAGAGCTGTAATCTTTCTCTGAAGCCAGACAGTCACTGATTTAGACATATGTTTGGGATCATTATCTTGCTGCAAAGTAAACCGCCAACTTAGATGAAGATTTTTCACTGATAGTTGTAGATTTTCACCCAGAATTTTGATATAGTCTGCAGATTTCATTATTCCTCTTATTGCAATTAATTGTCCAGTCCTCCTTGAGTTAAAGCAACCCCAAAACACCACTGAGCCACCTCCATGTTTTAATGTTGCCACTGTGTTCTTAGGGAGGAAAGCCTCACCTTTCTTGCGCCAAATCTTCTGTACATCATTATGTTCAGAAAGCTCAATTTTTGTTTCATCACTCCAGAGTACTGGTTCCCAAAAGCAATTTTCTTTGTCCAAGAATGTTTTGGCAAAATTAAACCAAGCAACAATGTGACATAGTTTGTGAAGAGGCATTTGTCATGGTCAGTTTCCACACAACTCATTTCTATTTAAACAATGCTGTATTGTGCAAGTACTTACGCTGATACCCATTGTATCCAAAATTTGGCGATGACTTTCAAAACAACTCTTGGATTTTTATTAACCGTGTGACACAGTTCTCAGTAACAATTTAGGTTTTCTTTCATGCCCAGGAAAATTCTCTGTCATGCCAAACTGCTTAAACTTCTTTATAATGGACTGTACTGTAGATCCAGGGATAGATAACTGGGTTGAAATAGTGCTGTAACTATTTCCCGACTTGTGGAAGTTAATAATTCTCTGTCTCAAGTCAATGCTAAGCTGCATTGTCTTCCCCATTGTGTTGTTGACGTAAGAATGACACTATGCACCACATGATGTTCTTTGCTGGAACTATCACAAATATTCTACTCAATAAATAGTCTAGAAGGCTTCACTGATAAAATAATTATGTAAATTACTTATACTTACATGAATCAATCAATTGAAAGTGATATTTTCTACTGTTCAAATAATTTTGTCTTTTTCTATTTTGCATAATTCACCTGTCAAGTTTGTTGTATTTAATCTATTGTTCTGAAAATTGATTTTTATATTCCTTTTTTTGTGCTTATTAACATATAAGAAACCTGGCATCATATGGGCATTAGATTCTGAGAAATGGATTAAAATATTCAAAATTGATGGATGTATGAATAATTTCATCATTGACTGTATATTACTGGAAATTGGTTTTATTTATAACCTAAATTTTCATAAATTTTTGTAAATTAGACCTTTTATCTACAAGCATATATATATATATATATATATATATATATATATATATATATATATATATATATATATAATCAGTTCACTCCAAGCTAGGTAGTAATGCGGCTAAAACACTAGGGTTACTGGGAGTGAACAAGAATAAGAAGACGTTAATGAGGGTAAAGGACAGGATTCAAAAAGACATAAGATGGTGATTAATGATTTTGAAGAATGTATATTGCAGGGAAGCAAGATACATCCATAATATTTTAACATTATTCTGATTCATAATCATATAATTCTCATTCTGGTGTTATCAAGGGTTGAGGGTGTCAAACGATTTAAGAGTTAGTCTAGTGCCCGTAACCTCTAACCTCAGCACAAATTCTTAAATTTTCTTTAAGTGTGCCTTATATTGTGAGAAATAGAGAATTTAGTAGTGGAAAAATATAATTTTTTCTCTGTATTATAAACATAGCTGAAGCACTTGTGTCACAGAATTTATATGGATAAAATATAATAAATACTGAAATGACTAATGCCTGAGATACACACATACACATTTTTGAATGGATTTTTTATTAGTATAAACATTATTTTCAGTGGAGGCATATATTACAAATGCTACTAATTATCCCAAATACATGTACCCACTAAAATAATGTATATAGTAATATATATATATATATATATATATATATATATACGAAGGATAAATTGTCGCCATTTTAATAAATTTTGTTTGTCATATTTAATTATATATTTATATATATATATATATATATAGGGTGTCATGGGAAAATTTTCACCATTTTATATTTGCAATTTCATACATGCACATTGTTTGTTTTTGATTTTGTTGCCTGCACATTATAGTAGGGTCAATTGAGCACCATTTGTGAGAAAAAGAGCACCATGACACAACTCTGTCAGAAATTTGGAAATGGCATGTTGTACTCCTTGGCATTCATGCCAGAAGCTCCAATATAAACATTTCAGAGTGTTTGGGTGTCACTCTGAGGACAGTGCAGATGATTCGGAAAGAGTTGGAGGAGTCTAATGGTGAGTACGAAGGTACGCCAACTCAGGGAAAACTCACTCTGATCATTCTGATAAGAAAAGAACTCCTGAATTTGTTGGTGAGAGGCTCAAACTCAACACGGAGGCTTACATCAAGTGCCTTGAGGTGGTAGTGCTGTCCTGAGTCAAGAGGGTGGTTGCTGGAAGAGCCTATGTCTGGCAACAGGACTCTGCAGGATGACACAATTGAATAAATTTATTCTTTAGTATTTCAAGATATTTTTGTGTAATTTTGGTAAAATGAGATGTCAGTGTTATTTTCTTGTTTGCATAATTTAAATGACAATTTATCCATCACCAGTAAATATATATATATATATATATATATATATATATATATATATATATATATATATATATATATATATATAAATAAAGTGATGACCAAGATATTCTTTGTTTTTTTTTCTGCTGATGTGTGACAGTAAAGTTTTTAGAAAATAAAAAATTTTGGGCTATTTTTAAATCCATATGAATGACCAATCATTTCATGATGGAACCTGATCAAGATTATTAAATTATATTAATTATAAAGAAGATTAAAAGATTGATAAAGATTATTATTGCCTCTTCCCCATCCTTTTCTTTCTTATCTCTTACTCTGGACAGATGATGCCAATTGTAAATTGTGAGGTAGATATGTATATGCATCTTTATGTATATTCTCACTACCTTTTCTTTCTAATTTAATTATTTACTATTTTTATTTATTTAAAAAATCTTTTTTCAAAATTTTTTACAAAAAATCTTTTTTACAATTTTTTACATTTTTTTTATAATTTTTAACTTATTGCAACAATTTGCATTAATGACAAATCTTGGTTCATTTCTGATGTAAAGAATGTAAAAATTACAACAGCATATATATATATATATATATATATAGTAATTTTTGAAGGTATTTTTTTATCTGATATTATCAATTATCTTTAATGGGTACACATGTTTTAGTTGCTATCCCTGTAACATTTAAATTCAATAAAAATATCAGATTAAAAGTAAATTCATTAATCATGGGTAAAAATGTATAGGAAAAAGAAGTTGAAAATGCAACTGGAATCTTAAAGAATATTTATTTAGAGTAACTCAAAGTCTGTAATACATGTCATGGCATAGCAACAGGTCTCTCAATCTCATTTCAACTTTTGAAAATCATAGAACTGTGGCCTGACGATTGCGTCTATTATGAAACAGACTGTCGCCTCTAAATGTTGACTTCAATGTTCACTTTTATATTTATATATTATTTATCACTTTAAATATTATTTTTAGTAAATACTCATATTTCAGTTTGATGCTCCATTTGTTTATTAAACAGTATATTTATTTATTTTTATCTATTGCAGTGGTTCT